ATTACAACAAAATAAGGTTTTATTATTTTAGCAAATAGTCCTACTCACTTTCTTCTAAAATAAGTCACGAGATTACCTCATTGGTAACGATATATCATCATGATTTCGCGAGTCGTCAGTATAAAAGCAAACAAACTCGATAACATTCCACTTCTTATCAGTGACACACCTGCTAATCGTACTCATCGGTCGTAGAGTCATCGATAAGCATTTACGTTTAAAATGTTGAACATAGTAATAATAACTAGGTATAGCTTCCCATTGAATTATTGTGGCAATATGCCATTTTATAGCGATGTACGTGCTATGGGCAACGACCTACGGCAAGCTAGTTATTATTGGATTATCATAAAATTACACAATACATGTAATAACGCCCACGGATCTTGGCATAGGTAATATTTGAAATTATCTGGCACAGATTTTGTAAGCATTAAGAAGCGGAAAATGAGGCATGACTGAATTAAAATGTTATAAGATAAGTAATTTTAACTAATATTTATATTTTGTATTGGTGTATTTCTTAGCTTGCATGAAAACGGATCATAATTATTTTTGACAACCAAAAAACCAAAAAAACAAATTGTGTTTTTTTAACAAAATGTACTCCCAAAATGCCTAAATTGCCGGCGTTGTGGGGCAAGTACAATGAGGCACCGCGGCCTCGGCCCAGACCAGGAGAAGGAACAGGGGGGTTTTTGGTCAGTACGAGTCTGAAACTCCCTCCCGCCCTACCCTGGGCGGTCGAAGCCATTGGATGATTTTCCCCCAACAAAAAAATACAATACCTAAATAAAAGATCATAAAAGCGCTGCCGATCAGAATATTCATAGCAGCTGAATTATTCATCTTTATAAATACAATAGCGAAGTGGTAGGTTAAAATGAAGAGAGATCAGGTCACCGCCGATGGATGTGCGTCGCCTACAAAATAATTCCACGTTTAAAGTGATTGTTATTGATTTGACATTGGCACTGTCGATCACTGAGATGAATTGGTATGAAGTATGGTAAGTAGGTAGGTAGGTTATGTTTTGACGTCACAGAACCCCTTGTTTCCTGTCTGTTATTGATACTCTCGTCAGCGCTGTCAGATAGGTACCTGTTTTAGAAATAAATATGTAATCTAAGCCGTTGAGTTGAGACAGATAGCCTTTTTACGGTCTAACAGATTTCGTATAGGTAGATCTATGTATACATTACCTCGAAGGATGACTGAAAATTTGAAAAAAGTATGTTACAACAATTACACCAAGAACGAGAGATAGTTGAATAATAATTTGGAGCTTTATTTAGGTACTAAGCTTTTTTTATTAAATAAACCAGTAATAGGTATTAAGCAGTGCTATATAAAAAGCGTCATTTCAAGACTTCTTCGATCCCGTATTCAAATACATTAGGTATGTAAAACTCTAGAATAGACGCCTAAACATATAGATAACTGGACGCTGGTTAGCAAAATAAAACTAAAAAATATGATGCAAGTCCGATAAACATATATTATAACACAACTATCGATTCATTATTGGCCAAAAAAACGACACAACTAGGTACTTACCCAGACGTATGTAAGTAATATTGATATTGTATTACAGATTATTCCAATAGCATATCATCTAAACGATTTATGTAACACAGATTAGAAGAAGACGTAACGATCTTATATCATCTTAACTACTATGTATTATCGTATATTTAAGTATGTTGTAGATCATATTATATGACGCATACTGTCTTATTGTTACCTACCTTCGTTAGCTTTTAAATGTGCGTCATTGTCGTTCAATTAGTATACTAATGATAACTTTAAAAGATGTGAAGTATATTTGACGTATCAACCAGCATCAGTTTACAAAACTCAAGCGTGATATGGAAGGCTGGCCTGGATTTTGGTTACCTATACAAAAAATGAGTCATACTTAAAAGTATAAGTAGGTAGGTAGATGCACACAAAAGATCTGTTTTTCGCCAGTCATTTATATATCAGAGGCAGTTATTTACTTAAAATTAAAATTGTAGATACCCTTTGTTAGTTGATGACAAACGTAACAAAACATGACACATTTGAATTAACGGCTTTTTTCGAGAGCGACAAAATTCTGTGTCTAGGAATAGACACAGACTTTTGGCACAACCTTATGTGGGGCGAGAAGGAGTGTCTAAATGTTATATAAAAAAAAACACCCCGTTCTTTCTTTTCATTTTGTACCTTGGCGGGACTATGGTCAAACCCTATGGCTCGAGGTGGATTGAAGAATGTCGTTTTAAAGGTTCGAATTCGTTAATGACCTCTGCTCTGGAGACGCTGTCAAACACACTTTACATTTTCCTGTCTTTCCCACTAACTAATGGCGGGAAAAAAATAAATAGCGACAATGTATTTGACTTCATAATTTATGCCATCACCACATGGCTACCCTTGGCCTTAAGATAACTCGTGTATTATCTGAAAAAACTTTTGTACTACTAGGTACTACATTTTCACCGAATAATTAGTACACGGTGCCAAAATGACAGAGACTTCAAACTTAACAAAAAATGTAAGACAATAATCAGATAAAAGATAATAGAATGAAAAAATACTTTGGATTGGATTCGACTTTGGATTTCAACCAAAGTCTTCGCATACGAAGTTGGATATTGAGATATTCACTCGATCGAAGCAATTAAAGTTTAGATAATAACTCTCACTAAATTGTATTTAGTATAAATGTTAAATATCAACTTCATTAAAATTGTAATTAGAGAATTTTATAAAAAATCTTACCGTAATTTGTCCATTGTTCGCCTATCAAAAATCAGAGACATCAAAACGTGTGAACATTCTTTTTTAAATCCGGATTAGTTGTGCAACAATAATTTTTAGACTTCATGAACGTCATTTGGTCGACAGTGAAAATAGTATAAGTTTCTATCCATACTTTACAAGGAATTGCTAACCATCATATTATCAAGAAGTATATAAAAACCTATTAACTTTACCTATCATTGCAATAATTCTAATGAATCTTTGTAAAATGAAACGCATTTCAATAGAATTGCACTGATTTAGAGACAAGCAACAGTATGCATTGAAACATATACTTATTCGCCAAACTTTTTTGGGCTACTCTTAATAATTATTGTAATGTATATTCTATGTATATTATATTAATATATATTTGTAATGTATAGTAATGTATATTTAATAGTGAAATAGTAGTAAGTAGAAGAAGTAGGCTACTACTTCATTCTACTATATGATCCATATTTTCAGGGTATCGACATGTTCCTGAAGAATATGTAGGTCACTATAATCATCCTACAAATACCTACTGCTATACAAAGCTCTGTTCTAACAAAGCGAAGGTTTGAGCATTGATCACTGCAGTTGTTCAAGAAGGATTGGTAATTTTCATGAAGCAAATATTTACTATATGGTGATTTTAAACTTATATTTAGTAATAATAAGCCCAGGCTTCCTCACAATGTTTTCTTTTAGACTTAGAAATAGATAATGTGAATAGACGTAGAAGGAGGACGAGAATAAATACTTATACTTACTAAATCTATTTACCCCGTTTTACGGTACATATACCTCGAAAAAAAGTCACATTGGTGTTTGCCAGGTTCCGAGCTTCTCATGCATGTAAGGCAGGCGTCTTAAGGGACCCCAGGACTTAGCCCATTCACCAACAACGCATGGACGAACAGTTTTTGTTGACAAACTTAGTAGGACTTTTTATCCATTGGGTGGTGGTTGTGAAAACACGCCGTAAGCAATGTAAAACTGTGATAATATGAGGTGAATTAAAAAAACAAATTACGTCAATAGCGAACTTCCCTCTTTATTGGCAATAAAGTGGGAAGTGATAATTTATACAAGTGACGTGCTTGTTTAGCTTCCGTGATTTATTGCAGTCATTAGCAATCTGCGAGTTGAGAGCAATGAGAGCCCGGGTTCATGTACAACAACGATCCGCACTAACGTACAATCATCATTAACCGATGTATCATGGAAAACGAATGTAAATTCACTTGTAAATTATGGCAGTTGTGAGCTCATGATGTTATCACAACGTGGAAAATCACCCTGTAACTAAACGGGTTCTGATATCATAGCCAAGTACCCGTTTTCTGGAACTCTCTGATTAGTAACAGAGTCGTAAGAAGCTGTTCTTGTTCGTGTGATAGTTAAATATTCATTAGATTTTATTGCTCTCCAAGAATCAACTGCTCGATTAATTGGGGACGTGAAACTGCTTCACCTTTTAATATTTCCTCAAAAAGGTCGCACCACCAGTTTTTTATTTGACAATTTAAAGTGTTTTTTTCTAAAATTTCGTTATGGACTTTTTTTATAATATCGACCCAAACCGTATGTAACTGGTTAATGTTTGATTAACTCACACTAAGTAGGTGGCATTATTGAACAGGAACTCAGATTTACAATGAAGAAGGTGAACAGGTAGCCCGTCGCGCGACACAGCTCGCGGCTAGAGCCGGCTACGCCCATGTTCAAAAAAAGTTGCTCATTCGCATTTTTTGGTCCCCAATTATAGGTGATCATGATTTGGTAACATCGACCTTGTATTGAAGGATAGTGCTGAAGGATTGCCTCATTAAGAAATCATAGACGTAGATTATTATAATACAATAGGATAAAACGATGATCACAATGTGCACTACGTCTACAATAAGTAATTGCATTTGTATACCACGTGTTAATAATATTAAATGCTCATCTCGTTATAATCGTTGATATACCCCTCGTAAAATACTCACATAAATATTACAATGACTTATTAAAACGATATCATTACTTGCTTAGTGTACCCAAAGCATGCGCTTTGCACATGCACAGTCCTTGTAAATGTTATGCAGATAATGCATAGTTATTAACAACTTTTTTGCATTTTCGTGACTAAGGGTCTACATGTCTACGTGGGTCTACACATAGTAGGTAATCTTCATCGTAATATACATAGGTAAGAATTATATCTGAATAATAAAAACTACAAATTTTGAGATTGCAGTGTTTATTATAAGAAGACATCTAAGATGTAGTACATTCTTCGTATTTTTTGATCAGGTATATTATTTGCCCATGCGCTGTATGGACCACTCTTGCTGGCAGAGTGGGCAGCGGTTGTTCTGTTTCACCCACAAGGACATGCAGCAGAAATGGAAGCTGTGGTTACATTCTCCCCAAACCACGACGCAATCTTGTTTGCCGTATGAATCCTTCTTACTCTCACCTTGGCAGCGCAGACAGGCATCTGTGGAAAAGAACAAAAGATAAGCTAAATAAACAACTCCCACATCAAAATAGATTTTAAAACCAAGAAGTTAAATGAAGACTGATTAGACTAGACGTTTTATAATTCAGTACTTCGTCAAATATTTTACTAGTAAGGCAATCCATAAGCCTGTTTGTTGTGTCTAGTGAGATTGTGGTAAAGATCGTTGACACACAGGGTGTGTAATTAATTATGTACAGTCGTGACGCCGATATTTCCTCCTGTTGTGAGTTTCAGTATCTCTGTGCAAAAAGGAAAGAATAAAAAATATCAAGTATTTTTAAATTGCGATATATTTAATAGCATTGGCAAAGCGATCGTAAACACCATTTTGGTCTGGTTTTCGTCCATTAACATAATAATAATTTCAAAGTGTTCCTTAATTTTTTTCAGCAGCAGTTACAATCTTGTTGTATCTCATGTGTCGCTCTCGCATTTTATGGAAGTCATCGTATTTAAACGTTCGTGAACTAATATTGTTCTATATTTCATTACAATTCGGTTAGCGCTTGTTAAAATTTTATCGATTTTATAAACCCATGTCGCATTTCTACAGTAAAATTCACAACTTACAACAATATAGCCGTGCAATTAACGATTGAAAAAGTTTTCTGTCCTTGAAAAATATGTTTCTCGTTCATACTACCTACGTGGTCAATCCGGTATGTCGGAATTTCCAGTTCATTCATGGTTTTTGTTGGTATATTCAAGTTTAAAGCACAAATATTAGGAAAGCTTACGAAGATAATTAATCAATGGAAGGATATACCTAAGTGTTGTATTTAAATGATACTAGTATACATGCTGCTTGTACCAGTTCGAAGCTTAATAAGGCAGTTCGTTATATAATAATGGATTGCTGTTCGTATGGTTAATTGAGGAACATAAAATGCTGGTATTATTACAAGACCGAGGCCATTCTGAATCACGTCACTAGTTTTTCAGCCCTTGGCATATATGAGGAACGAGTGCGGACGCGGTTTATGGAATTTAAACAAATATGCCAGTAATTACTCTACCATGGAAACGTTTCACAGAATTACTATATTTCCGATTAATAAGGTTTTATTCCTTTGTGTACCTACTATTTCTGACTTTCGTTGTGAATAAATAACTGAATGAATTTACCTTTTTCTTCAGCAACAATTCCTAATTTTGTAAATCCTGAAAATCAAAGTAGGTTTTCTAGTATTTTACGGAATCGGGAATATGGCAAGAAACTAGCCAGTTAAATATTAACGTAAATTTTTCATTATTTTCACTAACGAACCTCAATCTCCATGAGGTAATACGATTTTTCTCTTATCCATTTTAAAGACATGAGGTAAAGAAAAATTAAAACTTTCCACTTTCTAAGATCACTTAGAGATTAAAGTAACCTTATAACAGATACATGTTAATTATTAATTTATTAATATGATTCATATAAATTTACATCTATAACAGCTAAAACTTGTTTGTCGACATTTGACGTCATGTAATACTTTTGTAACCATGTTACATATGTATTAATACAATTAATTAATTAGAAATTCCATTGGAATGACTCTGCTACCATATGGGGTTAGAATGGAATAAATCTTGATTGAAGGGGATTCCTAGTTAATATAAGAATTAAGGGATTTTCATTTTGCTATGATTATTTTAATTGTAAAGAGGTTTACTTTAGCCGTAATAAAATAATATTTAAGAATTATAACTACATAGAGTCTCAGTCAAATAATTAAGCAGTTTAGCTTGTTTTTGGAAAAAGACACGCACCAAATTTTGGACGTCGTCGTTCGATGAGTTGGATGGTCTCTTTTAGATTGCATGAATTTTAATCATTGTATTTCAGAGATATGTAAAAAATTATTTTTACAAAAATACCGCCTTTTCTAGAAACTTAATTTATAAGTAAACATTATAGGTTTTTTTTATCATAGAAATAACAATACTCGTTCTAACAATTTTATATTAATGTTTATTTAGGTGGCTTTTAATTTATACATTTATTTTTATAATGTGTATGATATATAAATATTCATAAAATAAATGAAATGTTAACTTTAACATATTACCTATACTATTTTGTAAAAACTGAAAAATCGTGGAATGTCAGATGAATAAAAAAATATCTTTGATGAATATGTATGTTTGATTTTAAGTTACATATTTGAGTTTTTGTTACAGTTATTTTTTTCCGCAAGAGGTTAAATCCAATGCATACTTTAAAAATACCTACTTGATAGACTTATGTATGTGGTAACTAATTCATAGAAATTTTCTTTGTGTAGAGGTATTCAAAGTCATCTGGTTCCAAGTGGCTATTCGGACATTGAGAAAAATGCCAAATCTTTATAACAAACAAACATCTGAGTCCTCACCATTTCAGTCAATAACTAACAAACTTTGTCATACATAACTCATATTTTTTCAGTTATCATCAATTTTAATTAACGTCTTGAATGTTATTAATTGCAGGTGATACAGTAATCGTATTACAAATATGTGTATTGTGACGGCGACGGTTGTAGAATAAACAGTACGGCACGTTGTACCGCAACGCCATCATGATCCCGACGTGATGAGTTTACACGTTACACCACACTGCGCACGCTGAAATGCCAGACAGTATCACGTGCAAGAAAGCAATAAAACAGCAAGATTCGTACCACACTCGTCTTTCAACAACACTATCTCCAAAGAACAAGTATTGTCAAGGTTTTAAAAATCCGGAATCAATGAATCCTGAGAATGTCTTTACCAGTTTCACATATCTTTACCTGTTCTGTACATTTTAATACTTCAACTATTTTAGTGTTTAGTGTCCAAATGATATACTATATATATAAATGAAGAGAATATTATTAACGATTTGAATGTCAAATTCCAAAAGTTCAGGGCAATCTAGGTGCGAGTGGTTTTATTAAATTGGTCACATGTAGATGTCTACATGAATTTAAATGTTATTGAACGAGGAAATAATCTTCGTTCATTTCTGTCGGTCTCAGTCTTAAAAAAATCGCAATTTATTTATTACTATTTTTTCACCAAAAATACCATACATGATAAATTATTTCTAGAATTATTAGTTTGCCGAATTCCTCAATACCAAGCAGCTATCGTCGATCTAATTAAGAACCATATTTAAGATTAGGAATAATTTCCTGATTAAAATAATCCAGAGGGATTTTTAGGACATTAAGGACCCTTTTTACATACCTATGTATGTACCTACTACGTAGGTACTAATACAGTTTTTGAGAATGTCAGTGTTTGCAAATTACAGTAAAATGGCATTGGGCGATGAAATTATCCAAATACACAATTTTCCTTCTTCCGATAAACACCATAATATTTAAAAATGATGCCAACGGGAAATGCGTCAATCAACTTCCTTAGAATGTGTGCGAATTTGTTTTATCGATAAGAGTGGGCTAGTTATACGAGATAAAAAATAAATAACTGAATCTAGGTTACCAGGCGTATGTTTGGGAGGATGACTTCATCTGTAATGGTAAAAGAAAAAAAAAACACGTGATACCCAACTTTTTTGCTAACATTTAGCACTATAACCTTCAATAAAAACATGAAATTACATAACTAGCAACAGCCTATTAAATTATTATTCAACATATTCTGGTACTTAATCGTTATTATTTCAGATGATAGAATATACAGATATATTACCACCGTGTACGTGGTATTTCCAAAACGTATTAGGTGATATGAAGCGATACTTATAACACAAAGACCATAGACAAACTAGTAAATTTTTTCTTTGACATGAGTTATGTCCCAATAATATACTGCTGATATTAAGATGATAAAAAATGTATATATTTATGTGAGTTTTAAATGGCATTTTGAAAAATGTAAAATTATTGCTTGGACTTGGAACAGAATTTGTTGCCATCTGTACCTCATAATATTTGATTCAGATGGTATGATGATTTTAATAGGAAGTGGTTATTTACCCGCAATACTTAATTTATATTCATCGCTCACACGAATCGACATTTATTAGCTGTATTGGCAATAAAAATGCATCATATGATATAGGCGCTGGTTATAAATCAGAAACTTTCCATGGTCTTCGATCATATAAAAAATTATGGGAAAATTATTTGTACTAACGTCACTAATCTGAAGGTTTTAAAAGCACGGTTTAAGATAGCTGTCGACTTACAAAAAATATGATATTACTAGCGACCCAACCGTCCGTGCGATTGGCGACCATATTTCGAGGTTCCCGGTAAAGGTATTAAATTAACTTTTCATATAATCCATGTTCTAATGATAATGAACACGATAAAAACGGTACAGGTTATCTTTAAGTTTATATATATTTATTCCGGAGTTGTGGTTGTACTTACACACATTTTGCTGAATTCATTACATATACCTATTTGTAATTTTTGTAAGTGTAGCGCAAGTAGAACATTATTTAGTCTGTGAAGCCAAACTAGTACATTTTTCATACGTTCAAATTCTTAAGATTGACAATTGAGAATCGCTGGCATATTGAACGCTAGGCAAAAAAAATGATCACTCATATACTAAATTGCTTGATATAACTAGGGGGTGTGGTGTAAACAAAATGGCGACAAAACTGCGACCAATAAATTACAATTTAGGCGACACCGCCCCCAATCAACTTCAATCACGGCAATGCAGACGCTGCGCGGACGCATGTTTACCCAATTCGCCAAATTGACCTTTATTTAATACAGTGAAATGATACAACTACATTTAAATCAGGTATGATTTGGGCATTATTATTCAGCCCATCTTTTTCATGTCGTATACAAAAACCTTACATTTCATATTTGGAACAATGGTATACGGAAAATCCATTTTTTGTTGCTTGATGCGGTTTTCGAAGACGTGTTGCGGTTTCTTAGTGCTGTCTTATTCCGACTTAGGTGCCTTAATTGGCAGAACTGTAGAATTACAGTACCAAGTAATTTAAATCTGTTAATAAATAAACTACAGAATAGTCTGAATGGACAGGATAAATATTGAGAAGCTAATATGGTAGTATTTTAGTTTCATCGAAACAATGATAGTGTCATTCAATCAGTGTTACTTTTTCATATTTAAGGAAAATAGTACCAAGGTGCGAATTGATGTTTATGTTTCACATTTTTATTTTCCTTGTACCTTTTACTTATTTATTTTTAATACTTTTGTTGCATCTTGCTCTACAATTACTAGACTAGTGCATTATTAAAATATTTTTAGAGACAGGAAATCCAATAATACCTACATTTAAAAATTACGACATGAACGGCGGAAGAGAGAAAAGAAAAAACTGATGATATCATTCAAGTTCACAAGTATGGTACAAGCAAAGTAAGATAAAGCAATATTAGCACTTGTTGAAGTTGCCAAATATGCGTAGAGCATTAAATATATGACATCAGATACTAGGAACAGAACATTAAAAGAAAAAAGCGAAGATGTAAATGAGATAACTTGGTGCAAAGTACAAATAGGCATTTGAAGTGATAATTAAAAAACCGAAATGTCATGTACTTGTTGCGGAAAAAATAAATTAGTGAATTTATGCTAATCGTAATGATAAATCATTTAAGGAAATAATTTATTTACACGAGGAAAGATCAAGATCAATGTTCGAAACTTTTGTACTTTATTTGTGATATTTGTAATATTTGTGGCAAGTCCATGTTCCAAAGTATACGCGTCAATCACTAAATAAATAAAATTCAATCAAAAGGCATTTAAAGGTTCCTCAAACTTATCCCAAAAGGTTATTTATGAATAAAATAGTAGGATTTGCATCAAATAGTCCAGATTAATAGATAAGAGTTTCATGAAAGAGAAATTGGTATTTGACAGTTTCTAACTTTTGTAAATAATACTTAGGTTTCAATTATTTCCCAAGGTTTCAACCATAAAGTATCTTAGAGTTTATGTTCACAAATTTCCGTCTACAGACAAGCAAGTGTGATTTATATTTTTTTTATAATTGAATAAATGGCTTGCTAATGTTGCCAAGTCACATGACGATGCTAATTTTTTATTAGGAAGAGGTCGTACCTCTTTGTTGCTGTAATAAGTAAGGCAAGTACAAAAAATATTAGTGCGGTTCTTACCACTTTAAAATGTGTAAAAAATGGCTAGTCTGAAAACATCCCATAAGTTTCACAATAATGAGCTAAAAATAGTGATTGTAACATCAGCTAAAGCTTACTAATGTCGTAATTATGCGAAATTGTCGCGACATTATTACTAAATATTAAGACTCATACACACTAGTGCAAGAGCAGCGAAATGTTATATTTATCACTGCTAACAGGTGTAGAAATATTTCTTTTGTTAGCGCTGTTTATTGATACAAGTGTGGAGGAGTGCGAGCATAGCCTTATGCTTAGTGCTTATTATTTCAGATGCCAATGTCGTCATAAGCTAACTGCTGGTGTTGCTTACCTACATTACACGCTGTTTACATGTTGCGAACAGCACGTGGAGATTTTACAATCTCATTGTCTAGGAACAATGATAGAGTTTAATGTAAACACAAGGCTCGGTTAATTTGTTTATATCACACATAATTAATATATTAAATTTATTGTTTAGGATGTACGATCCGATACCTACTCTATGTTTTTGCGTGATACTGCTGGTTTAGTGATGTCAGATTATAAAATAAGGAACGGGGTGTTTCTTACTTCGTTGCTGAAATAAATGCTAATCAAGCTGATATTGAAATAAATTATTTAATAAGGTGCCAGATCAACTGAAAAGCTATTATGATTCTCAGTAAAATTGTAGATTTGCCGTGTAGATATACCAAATTATTTCATGATTGCTTTTTGGAAGATTAAACATATGGAATTGTTTGTTTTTGTCAGGGGAAAATAATCATATAACTTCTCCCGCCCAGGGTGAGGCGAGAGGGAGTGTCAGGCTCTTACTGTCTAAAAACACCCCGTTCCTTTTTCTGCACTAGGCCGCGGTGCCTCATTACGCTTATCCCGCAACCCAGGCTGAAAATATCTAAAATACTGCGTCGATTATCGGGGTCAAATGACAGATGACAGTCATATTGTGCAAAATACGGGTTTGAGTATCTGAATCAGACTTAATGAAGGATTCGTAAGTACATCAGAGACAGTCAGAGGCATGTTATTGATGCGTTGGCGTTGATATTGTAGGCAGTGTGTCAAATATTCTAATGACAGGGAACGTGGTTTATGCGCCGGCCGGATATAGATTTCTCTAGAATATTCTCTGGTCGATTCGCGTGTCCCAGATGTACTGCCATTCGCGCGCAAAAGGTGATTGCTCCCTTGAATCCCGTGCTCTGTTACTCGCAGCTAAGAAATGAAGTATGGGGACATTTAAAAATAACATCGAGTGATGACTACGTGCATTAACGCATTACTTTATAACCAAGTACCTACAATTAGTGGGACAGTTATTTATTACTGTCGTTCATTACTTCATCTAGCCAAGGAAAGTTTTACTGACCTCTTTTCAAAGATTGGACTGGAAATAATATAAAAAAATGTTTTTTGCCTTATATGTAGAAACTTATGTATATACACAATTTTTCAGTGTCAAATGGAAGACTAGAAAGGTATTCAGGCCTAGTTTGCAATAGAACAATTATTTTTATGAAGGTTATGCAGTAGTTTCACTTTACATTGTTAGACTGTTATTTTGTACAACAAGATCCTTCGAATTAAAAAAACACACCCCCTATTAAACAAGGGTATTCATTGTATATGTATGTTACTGGTTAACCCTTCGGTGATGGTCATTTTTGACGTAAACTTAACCAATCAAAGTCCAGAATTTGTAAACATACAATAATTCAAGAAGGTACTTGAAAAACTGAAAGGCATAAACAAATAATGGACCTTTCGGCTGGATTGTTTTCTTTGATCGTGCGTCACGATTGCGTAGGTACTGTCACAATTTATTATATGTATGTACAATACGTATCTATATTGCATTAAAAACTTCTTTCAGCACATCACGTACACATTGCTATTTTTCATATAACGGGAATTGTACAATTTATTATGTAAGTCAAATTTATAGGAAAATAAATTACTAAAATGGATTTAATTTTAATAAAACGTAATTTTATTTTATATACATATTTTTTCTTCAAACAGTATTCAAGGCGATTTTGTACTGCAATATTATTTCCAAAAATACTATAATTTTCCTTTATCTACAAATGCAGCATCTCCTTCATTTTCTGTTTACGTAACGCACGTCCGTTGTAGTTGAATTTGATTTTTTAACTAAGTATTGCCTAACTCTTTGAAGAATAGTGCACCTTTCGAGTGCTACCGTTCTATGTAACAAACACATACGCACGACCAGACTTGTGGTTGTGGAGAGGGCGCCTCGCTTTACACTTTCACACATACACAAACTCCTGTGCGTACTACTAGTTTGTGTGTGCGTGACTTGTACACATTACAAAACGTTTAAAACGTGTGGGTGTTACAAGCTAGTGTTTGTCGAACGATTCAGGTTCGGCAGTGGTAAAGAACCTTTCTGAAAACGAACGTCACTTTAAAATCACTTGCAAACAATGCTATGTCAATACTGACATTAAATAAGAAATAAAACATAATTAGCCAGTGTTTAAAAAAAATAAGGTGACCGTTATAACGTCTCTGAATTTAATATAAGATCATGAAACGTGATACTGAACCAAAAATTCAAGGACGCGTAAGGTCTACGTTATTTAAAAAAATGTTGACCACAACTGCCGCTTACTTTTCTCCAGTACTTTTCCATCAGTGCCTTGGCGCATACGCTGAGGTCGCAACATACGTTGCGTTTCATTACGGATGGGCATAAGCAGATTCTAGAAGGACGGTAAAATTAGTTTATCATAAGATAAAACATAAAATATAAAGCAGCTTTTCAGGGACTGTTTTTTAATGTTTTTTTTTCTTGCGAATCAAGTTTTAATTTTGGCAACAAATAAAAATGCACTTTATAAGTAAACAACATTGGGTTCCCGTTAGATTTGCGGTGACTATTTGGAATCGATAAATACACTCGTTCCACTCACACACAGAAATTATTGTAACTCACTGTATACATTGACTTACGACTTTCGGCCCATAATATGACTTTTGAGCCTGCAATGTATTAAGATTATCTTTATTAGTGCATACATTTATAAAATAATGATTTCCTTCATAATTCATCAATACAACGCGGATATAATTGAAAGGGTCTGTTCCTGGAACATCTTTTACCCGGTCATCATGTCCGCGTGATATAATTTATGTTCAAACTTTATCTTGATCGAGTAACTGTTCGTACGGTTGTATTAATACTATATTATTTAATTTAAACCTTCGGAAGACTGCAGTAACTTTGTTTAATTTTCTTGAACCGCTCACCAGACGGTGTGCAATTCCTTTCCATAAATAACATTTAATAATATGATGGTGGCGACGCGCGACGGCTCTATGTTGTTTGTAAAGTGGTAATGCAGTTTTTAACGAGAAAGTTAAAGAATTTGACTTTGTAGCAAATAACCGTTATCGAAGGGAGCTCACAGGCGCCATCCTACATCCGAAGGATTAATAAAATGCTTTTGTGGTAATCAACATTCCAGTTGATGGCGCCACCTACTGCCGAGAGTGCGTGATCGATGCGTCTCACTGGGATTTCTGATGATGGTACTACTTACTTTTACCTTCATGTCTGCATAATTCTGGGAAAGGAATGCGAATACATACATGAAATGTAATTAAATGTTATGAATAAAAAGTGATTCATTGGACGCCGCGAGTAGCGTCGCCATGCCTCTCACAAAGGCAAGGGGAAAGATTCCACGATGAATTGTATTTCGAAAAAAAAAAAACGGAAGCAGATATATCATTGATAAAATAATAAAATATTTTGATAACTGATCGACTTCGGTCTTTTAGTTGCCATCGCAATAGTATATAATCTCTAAGTAAATTACGATTCATGGGTTTTTTATTTATTATAATTATTAATACGTACGTATTATTGTATCATTTTAGTACAATTTCCCACAGTACCGGTTTATCGGTTTGACTGTGGGTGGCGTGTGGCATTATTCTACATGCAGATTTGTATTATTTATTAAATATTTGAAAGCGTTTCTAGGACTTTAGTCGACTAGATCCAAATAATAAAAATAAAGCTATAAATATCAGCGACCGTAGCAAGGCACAACACAACGCACAGCTTAAAAACTTCGACTTTCAAGTAGGCGACAACCGTTATTAAATAAATCCTGCGCCCGCACTATAATTTCATGTAGTTACAACAAATATTTTAATGATTTTCCACAGTTATTTTTAGTAGTGTGGCGATAGTATTCTGCATCATTAGCTACGAGTACGGTATGTTTATAATCTGTGTATAAAATAACTATACGCGCGTCACATAAACATTACCTTTATGAAACAAATGAAAGTACATTTTTACCGAAAAATTCCAATATTTAATTTACAATGCAGTTGTTTGAGGACCTTTTCCATTCCCAAGATAAACTTTCGACCGATTTGTTTGTTAGAGAAAACATTAAAAACGTTTTCCAAACATTTTCAAGGTTATTTTTAGAGAAACAAAAGATATCTGCACGTTGTACGCAAACAATTTTCTTATCATAAAGATGGTACTTACTGATTTCACTATTAACATATTGAACACCATGTCGAACAAAGGTGTCCGAAGCTAGCAGAGGATTAGGCTTCAACAGAGTCGGCAGTCAGACTTAATTATTAATAAATATTACATTATACCTAATCAAATACTATAATTGAAAAGAAGGATAACTAAGCAGGTCAAATGACATCAGTGATTTACCGATGCTGATATTTGAACTGCAATGCTTCAAGGTTAGTTAGCGACGTTACTTGCATGCAACCCAATGTGGTTAGACCTGACAATGTTAATTAGCTTCCCACGTGCATATTTCAACGGCTTAATCATAATGAACTATTAAATAACCGTGTCAGTGAAAATGAGAAAAGTACGAAAGCGGTGATTGTTATTTCAATGTTAAAATCAAGAACCGCAAGAATCGGATCAAACAAGACGTGAATGTTTTTGCAAATAGTGCTGTAGTTATAGCATTTCCATTTTAGTAGCGCGATCGATATACGACATCTAGGAATGCGAAAGCAAATTTAGAAACGTTTAAGATTCCAAAGAACACCGCTTTGAGCTAAACGGAACAGCTCATTGGTGCTATAAATAGGGTGCATTTTATACAACTCGTGTGGGAATTAATTCATAGGACACTGCGCCACTACAAGTACTATTATTGCTTAATCTATGCACATAATAATAAGATCCGACTACGTACACCGATGCAACGCTTCGTAAGAATATTTAATGTTCTTGTACCGAAACGTATTAATATGTACAACGTTTGATGCATTGTTTATGAGAGTAACCAATATTTTATGTATTTACTGACGCTTACCTATCTACAATATAATATATGATTTGGGTTTATGAGTTTTTAACCACTAAAATCTTATCATGTTATGTCTGAGCGCATTATGATAAGCTTCATTACTCATAAAAATCGATTTGAGATTCACGGAAAAGGAAAAGCAGTTTATGTTATTACTAGAATATAACATTTTTCTATGGCACTTGCAAGTTGAAGATCTTGAGATAAATGATTGAGGGTGGTCAGTATCAATGCAGGAATGCATAAGTAATATTGGAATGATAACGAGCCTAGAACTACTCTGGGTGTTAGGTGTTAAACAATCAATATTATCAGGAAGATAACTTTTGCACATAAGGCTTATACTCTTAAAGGAAGAGCTTAGTGCACTTTATTTATTTAGGTGGCTGGAAAAGAAAACGATTTCGTGGCTTTAACTAGGAACACAAGTATGTAATCTGTCAGTATCGATATTTAAATTTGCAATTGAGGCATGCAGTGTTGACTAATGTTGTTGTCATAGGCAGCCCTGCATCGAAGGGTGTGTTCAGTCTGACCTTCGTAGCCCTCTGCGCTTCGCCAAGGCCGGCTGGTGGTTTAACTCGCTCTCTAGTGGGCGAGATCAGATACAGTCATTCATGCCGAATTGTATAATTCACTTGCATAATAATACTTGGCTCCGTCTAGCCTTGTCATTCAACTGTTTATTACTAGTATTAAAGTAATTTTCTGAGAGGGATTACAATTGGCAAGAATTGAACGATTAAAGGTTAAATGCTGGCGTAATAATCACTATGATACAATTTTTTTTTAGAAGTAGTTTTTACCTGAACTTTTTAAATCTACGTTTTATTGGCCGTGTCTTGCAGACACTGTTTATTCCACTTCAATTTAAAAATGAAAAGTTCATCAGTATCGAATCAGATTTTTAATAATGAATAAGCTAGGTCAAGTTAAGGACTATCGATCGCCCTACATACAGTGTTATCGACCGCCGCAATACCTGCTAACACTAACTAAGCTTTGAACCGCAATAAATATTGATTTTCTAGGATCGCGAATGTTCCACGGCGCGGTTTATGTACTACCTATTCCTACTGTAGGTGTGTGTGAGCGAACAAATATATAAAATGTTGATAGTTTCATTGAAGAAAAGCTGAATGAAATAATGCGTAGACGTAAAGTGGATATCACCATTTTAAGGTCACGCAACTTGTCCGAATTCCATTCGGGTTTAAGAATTTTTTGCAGGGAGTGTTGAAACTTTTCACCAGCTCTCAATGGAAATTTATGTTAAAATAATCGGAAGTAAGTAATATCTAGATTTGTTGTTGATAAGATAAAACACTCCTGCTTGGATGGAACGCGTGATTTATTTCTGCATAACGATTATAACATTATTAATTGTTATCTTTTATCGTATCACCTAGGAAAGGTACAAGTTTTCACAATGCCTTCTTTACAATATGGTAGGTATTGTAACATGAATCTGTATTGCGAATACGCGCTAAATACATCGATTGTTTTTGTAAATCTCGTATTGCAATACTTCATGTTGCAAGTATGCTCCGCTCACCATGGCTGCACTCGGTATGGAAAGATTCTCGAGACGTGGAACGTTCGAGAAAACCAGGGACTTGCCAGTTCAGTTCGGAATATTCCACTGTCATTTTTGACTGTGTTATGTGTGCGTCCCTTGTGAGTAATGAATGGTATGGGTAACACATACCTATGCGTCTGTGTGCACCCGTCTCTTGAATTACGATGCCTTCGTGTGACGTCACACTAAAATACTGACACGACGACAAAACGAAAATGTGAAACTCGATTGAAGTTAGAATTATCCTGCTTTATTTTCGCAACAGAATAATGTGTTAATTTCATATCTTTAATGGGAATACCTAGTCAATATAACCGCTTCGGTAAACCACATCTAACAAAGTGATGCAATATGTGGATGGAAACATTGGTGTGGTCACGTCCACATTAAGCTTTGGTGGGTTGGTTATTCACGTGTGTGACGTATTATTGTGTGACGTAGAAGCTCGTGATGTTAGTGTGTGTTTGGGAGTCCGGGGGCGGGGCAGAGCTTTCGGGAACGCCGGTTGTGAGCGCCAGACAGTTTAGTGAGCGCACGTGACACAGAGCACGCGCATACATACGTCAACAATTAAAAACTATGACTGTACACATAATTTTTATTAGGTACCCAGATAAAAATATGTTACAATGCGCAATCGTGAGGTTAGAAGCCTTCCTTCAGCTGAAATTCGCTCATAACGCCTTATCTATATAAGTTATATAAGTATATATCTTATATAAGTTTCGTTATCATTATATTATTCAGATATTTCGTATAACGGCGTTCATGATATTATTTCGTCGATACTGTTTTAATGGTTTTGCCAGATATGTATCTAATCAGAAAGTTTAATATTGCAACGCAAAAGTAATGTTTATTACATATAAAAATAAAAAAGACACGCCTTTTCAAAAAGATTAAAACAATACATGATAAAAGATATGTTATTGTAAAAAATAAGCGTGATAAAATGGTCTAAAAATAGGTGTAGGAAGATTTATTAATATAAACTTTCAGAATCTAACCGATTTACTTTATTATATTCCAAAAAAGTAAATATAGCACTGGGCCCAAATAAGGCAAATAGCATAACTGTTGAAACATAAATTCTATAAATAAGGTTCAAACTGAAATAACATAGAACAAAATCTGACAGGAATAAAGTTACTACAACTAAAACAAGAAAAAAGTTTGTACTGGATAACCATAATACGGTAGTTTCCAACTAGTCAAATTCAATACTTTTATCCAAACGTCAAAAACGATACGTTTCTATGAAATTTGTTTGTAAAACTGAGCTATGACGTCATAACTTTTTTGCGTCAAGTAGCTAACTTATTTCTCATTGATTAGCTAAATAAAATGTAAAAATTAGTATATTGATCGATCGATGAATAAAAGTATAGTTATTTTTCAATATTTTATTGTTTTGAAACGTCGAAATAATTTATTTTTGACCTAGGAAACTACCCAATTGGGTTTCCAAATACGAATGAGTAACATAAAGGTCATTCAGGACATCTGACTTCATATTACGAAAATTGAGAACAAAATACGCAAGTGTAACCCCATAGAAAAACTATTTGTAAGATAAAGAAAAATTATGCAATTTTTGGTTATTTTCGTATTTGTTTGATGTTATCATTTTCTTATTAAATTATTATATAATTTGAAGTATTTATCGTAACTAAAATCGATTTTTGTAAAATGAAGATTAAAATCAAGTTATTGGAAAAACGAAACAATTACCGTCCTTATTTGTAAAATGTTTCGGTTTTGTTAAGTAAAGAATTTAAAAAAATGCAGTTTAGTATCGTGGAGAGCTACGTGTTAACTTATTTAGAAAGTGTTCAATACATGAATACTAGCTTTTGATTGCGTCATGCGTACTTTTGTATCCTCAGAACTAAAAGTGAAACATCTAAAATTTCTTCCTTATTTTGTTCGATTAAATGAATCAGACAGTTATAGAGACCAGATCAAATGGACTCCTTTTCCTAAAATACATTTATATCTTTATGTTATTTTCGGAAAATATGAATCATTTTGTACTTGTGGACATACCTTCTTATCATAACTGTAATATCTACGTGTCTGAGCTAAAATCATAAAAAGGCGTGGCAGCTTGATAATGTGTAATCTCTAGAAATATCGAGTCACTATCCTAAATCATAATACATTCGTCACTGACGCCAACTCTTTTATCCGAGTGTAGTTGGTCCATTAAGTTCAATCAAGCAAGTCATAATGCGTCGGACAAAACAGTTGTACAATGACGTGTGAGACCCACCTACAATTGTTCGACATAATACAATACGCACCGCAAAACCACACGCCAAACTGGCGTCCATCTCCGGTTCCAGTCATAATGTTATAAATAGTCATTATTATAAGATGATCGATATCTGTCATTTTGCTAAATAGCCCTAAATCATCTCTTAACTTAATGTAAACAAGCAAAACGAGTTTCCTATTAGATAATTTAAGTTGATCCAATAAATCAAATGAACTTGTTTCCGTAGAAAATGTGGCAGATAACTTTCCCCTGGAATGGAATGTTGACATGGTAAAATGGTGAAATAGACAACAGATTTATTGAAGAACATGTTTTTGAGTGTCGAAGGCAAACGATCTGTGTGTCACATAGAGTCGAGCCTCACAGGACACACC